GGCCAGCCCCCCAACCAATCAGAACACAGCCAAGCCTCCAACCAATGAGAACACCCCCCCACCCAATCGGAACGCAGCCAAGCCCCCACCCAGTCAAGTCACACCCCCACTGGCAGTTAGAATGAAGAAGCAGCTGAAAGCTCACATCACTCTGAGAAGCACAGAGCCGAAGAAGCAAGCCTGAAGATGATGAATGAGACTTCATCGAAACGTTGCCTAGATACTTTGAATCTTACGCGGGAGAAAACCCGAATAACCAAAGATCCACATACAAATACCCGCGAGAACCTCAGAAAACAAATATATATATATATATATATTATATATTATATATTATATATTATATATATATATATGCGATATTGACCCAAAATCACGTCAAACCGACTTCACCATGTTCAATGTTTTTAATTGTTTTGTTTAATAAAATATTTAATTTTTTTTAAAAAAACAGACAAACCTTTTCTGTGATACTAGGCAAGTGGTCCGATTCCCACATGCAGGTTAGCACTTCGTATTGAATCCGTCCTTCTTTCATTCTTCTCCTTGCTTGCCTTCGCCAATTTAGGGTGGACACGAGGCTGAGAAATTGAGAGCCCTCTTGGCTCCTCCGGTGGTGAAGTCCAGTTACTCCTTGACATATGACCACAACTGAGCCCAGAATTTAGGTTGCTAAGTGAGAAATGGGTCAAGCGGTTTTTGTCCCATTTTATGACCTTTCTTGCCGCATTTGTTAAGCGAATCACCGTCATTGTTAAATTAGTGACACGGTCATTAAATGAACTTGGCTTCCCTCTATTGACTTTGTTTGTCAGAAGGTCGCAAAAGGGGATCATGCCACCCGGGGCAGGGCACTGCAACCGTCATAAGTATGAGTCAGTTGCCAAGCATCCGAATCCGTGACCAGGGAGATGCTGCAACCATCATCAGTGTGAAAAATGGTCATTTAGTCACTTTTTTTCCAGTGCTGTTGTAACTTTGAATGGTCACTAAATGAACTGTTGTAAATTGAGGGCTACCTGTAGCCTCTCTGACCATGCAGAAGATCAGGGCATTAATCCAAGTTGTGGGAGCTTCAGCACTGGAGGCCTTCAAGAATGGACTGGACTGCCATTCGTCAGAAATGGTGTAGGGTCTCCTGCTTGGGTGAGGGGTTGGACTAGATGACCTACAAGGTCCCCTTTCAACTCTGTTAATCTGTATCTGTATCAGAGGTGGTCTTCAGCAGGTTCTGACCAGTTCTGGAGAACCGGTAGAGGAAATTTTGAGAAGGTCAGAGAACCGGCAAATCCCCCCTCTGACTGGCCCCGCCCCCCTCTATTCTCTACCTCCCATTGAGTCCCAGCTGATTGGCTGGGTCTCCATTTGTTGCCCTGCACAGGAGAATGGAGCTGGAAAGCAGGTTACTGGGGTGGGGAGGGAATGGAGATTTTGCAGCATCCTTCCCCTGCCATGCCCAACCAAGACACGCCCACCAAGACACGCCACGCCCACCAAGACACGCCCACAGAACCAGTAGGACAAAAAATTGAATCCCACCACTGATCTGTATCTATGACTGACTAAGCCAGGAAACCACAGCGGTCTGAAAAGAGGAGCAGACTCTCTGGGTGGGGGATAGGGCGCAGAAGCACTGCTCTGTCCACAGGACCACGCTTGACCATCATTAAGTGGGGCGGGGGGCAGCATCGCTGAACTAACTCCGTTGGGGTGGAGGGCTGGGGCTGATGGGAATCCCCTCTGAGGGGAATCCCCCCTCCCCATCTTTTCCCCCTCCTTTCATGTCCCAGTCGGTCCATTTAACCTCCGCGTTGGCTTCGGCTCGCGCAAAACCCGCCCGGGTCTCCCGAGGCGGTTTCTGGCTGGGGCTATAAGGGCGGCGTCAAGTGGAATTCCCACCCACCCACCTCTTTCCCACGTTCCCCCGGGGAGCAGACGCGTGTCAACACCTCCTCCCTGCTTTCCCCGCATTCCCAAGCGAGGTGCGGACGGCCGCTGGCTCAGACCCGGGGATTCCAGGGGCGAGAAGGCTGCTGCTGGCGGGACGCGGGAGGAGGAGGAGGAGGAGGAGGAGAGGGGCTTGCGCGCGCTCGGTTGCACGGCTTGGCTAGCAGCCGGCGGTGGCGGCGGTGCTTTCCACGCGTGTTCTTGGAGCGCGCGGCTCCCACCCCGGGCGGAGAGGCGGAGACGTGGGGGGGCTGGGCTGGGGGGGGGGGGGTCTTGACTTCCCAAGACCTCGCCTGGGCGGTGGGCTGCAGCCTGGAAGGCAGGCAGGCAGGCAGGCGGGCCGACGGGCGGGCAAGCGAGCCCTAGCCGTCCCGCCTGCTCGCTTGGAAGGGCGGGCACTTGTGCGCTTGCCAGCTGCCTTCTGCAAGCCTGCGGGCGACGTCCTGGGACTGGCTTTGGACCGAGAGGAGCGCTTTTCGCCCTTCCCGCTGAGGAGGCGCCCAAGGAGAAGCGCCGTCGCGCGAGGTGGGTGGCTGGCAGAGACATCCCCCCCCCCCCAAGGGACGGGGCGAGGCAGGAGGGGCGCCGCCTTCCTTCGCTCTTCTTCTCGCCCGCTTTGGCCTTGGGTGGGGGTATGGGCGGGCCGGGGGGGGGGAGTGGACGCCACCCTGAGATGTTGAGGGCTCTCTTAACCTCCTTCTGTGTGGTGGTGACGGAGCCTCTGAGCATGTGGAGAGTGCCGTTCTCTCGAAGTCTGAAGAAAGAGCGGGGTGAGGGGTAGGGCTGGGAAAAGCCAGGCTCGCCTTTTCACTTTAGCCATGGAAACCCATTGGGTGACACCCACACCCCCCCCCGCCCCGAACTGTTTTTTAGGAGTTGCATTCCATCCTTGATGAACGGAGGGAAACCAACGGCTTGGGTTTGCACAGTGCCTGGAGCTGCTGACTAAGCCAGCCACCTAGCCACATGTCAGTCTAGTGTGCTGGAGAAAACCAACATTACTTACCTGTTTCACATGGTGGTTATGCCAATAAATTGAAAAAAGAATAGGGTAGGGTAGGATAGGATGGAATAGGAATAGAACAGGAATAGGAATTAGAGTAGAGTAGAGTAGAGTAGAGTAGAGTAGAGTAGAATAGAATAGAATAGAATAGAATAGAATAGAATAGAATAGAATAGAATAGAATAGAATAGAAT